TTTTATTGGCGACGGATTTGAAATCCGTCGCCAATACCCCGTCGCCAATGCCCTGTTTTCTACTAGTGATTATTCATTACATATGAAGGAGGATTATATTATCATATAATGTTTCAGATACGCTTCCCTATTCACTTATTTTTAAATTATTTAATTTAGAAAAGGTAGAATATGAAAATTAACAAGCAAATAAACATGGAGCCTTGTTTTCCTTGCATACCGTTGGCTAGTCAGAACCCTACACAGGTGTCAGCTCAAATATGGTAAGAAAGAAACTGGAAATTTTTGAAAAGGAAGGAAAATTTTGAAAAGGAAGGAAAATTTTACAAAACTTAACAAAGAAATAGTCACGACAAAAGTCATCTCCTCATCAACTACCACTAAATTCCAACAATGCCAAGCGTCAGCTTGAAGAGGACAGTCTTATCATATTTGGACGCTCTCATCCCTCTCTTGTCTTTTCCATGAAAACGACTCGTTAAATTTTGGGGGACCCCTACCTTTAACTTGTTAGCACTCGCCCATATTGCTAATTATTTGATAGCAAAGTCTTTATAATGACCTAACACTTTGCACTTATTTTGATTCCTTGGCTAGCGTAAAGCTATCAATTTGTTAATGTTGGCGTTTTCTTTGATTGAAAACTTCTTATCTTACAAGCTTCTTTAAACAAGCTTCCAACAAGTTAATTACTCATGCAAGGATATATCAGAGTTGGATGCTGATGGAATGGTACTTTAGATGATGTTGTTAATGAGGCAGATGGGTTTTGATTTTGGAGGTTTTCATTTTTAATTTTATCCCTTCATTCACTTTGGTTTCTCAATAATCTACTTATTTAGTTTGTAGGAGTTCAGATGTTTATCCCCGTATTTTATTTTTAAATATAGAACACGATATAGTTTGATTCTTCAAACAAGTGTTTTTCGTCAACTCTTTGGTGTCTTGTTTGATATTTATTTGATGAGCTTTGCTACAGGGACCCAAATATATGGGACTAACAGGGGGGACAGGTGATGTGTCCCCACTCCTATTGCATAATGAGCTGGTCATTATTAATGATGGTCAGTTCATTATGCAATAGGAGCGGGACACCTCACCTGTCCACCTATTGGTTCCATATTTTAGGTGCTTTGGGAATTTTTCTTATTTGATTGGTAACGAGTGTTTGCTTTTTCATAAGCTCATAACAAGTGTTGGCATTTCTTTGATTGGAAAACTTTTTGTCTTAACAAGCTTCTGAAGTTACTCACGAAAAGATGATGGGATGGATGTAGATGGGATGGGAATTGAGATAATGTTCTTAAATGTAGGACATGGTTTTTGATTTTAGATGGTTTTACTATTTATTTAATTTTGGGTGATTTTTTTATCTATAGAACAGAATGATTTGGTTGTTTTTCAAGTCGTCGGTCGTGTTAGAAATATAATGTATAAAAAGGGTTAATTGCACTGAACCTCCAAGAAACCTTCAGCGTTTTGGACTGCTCTTCCAATAAGTCTCCGCGATTTGCACATAACCCCAAAATTAGAGCCAAAAAACAACATAAAAAACCATTTGAAAGTTATTGGGAGGTAGTCTAATTTATCCAAAAGATCGATATTGGGCTTTATCTGCAGTTATTGAGAGTTTAGTGCAGTTTTGCAAGTTATTGGGGGTTTCAGCAAAAAGCTGGAAGTTCTTGGGGGTTTAGTGTAATCTACCCAATCATAAACATGGCATGACATGATAGTTCATGAATATACACAGCAACACAGACGGACGATCTCTTGGTTTGATCATGGCCTAAAAGCCTAGTATAAAACGATCTGCTGGTCCTAAAATCCATAGTTAATTGTTTAGATCCCATAATAAACAACAGAACTAATATTTGTTTCGTTTCTAAAACCTATCTTCTGCTTAATCTATATATAGGCTAAACACAATTATTATCTTCTGTTTAATTTCCAAAATTTGTCTTCTGTTTAATTTATGTAAGTCTGTGAGCATGCAAGATTTTGTTACTCCTCACGGAGTCAATCGTTCCTGAGGCAGGACAAATGTTTTTTTTATAACTAAAACCAATAATATTTATACCCTAATTAATCTTATGGTTGCGTGAAGAAAGTTTCAGTTACGTCAAATAAAATATTCTCCAAGGTTTTGCACGCAGACATTATTGTATGATCTCGCATTATATTCCCAACTAATATCATCACAAAAGAAAAATTAATTGTATATATTATCCAAAATCAAATATCTATGTAAAAAAAAAAAAGATATTCAACTTGTTCTCTTTCTAAGACATTGGAAAATATCATACTCATAATAAACCCAAAAAAGGAAAAAAAAATTTTGTCCCCTCCTCTTATTCATTAATGTTCAACATCCTCATACATAAACACATATTTATATAGGGGGGCAAAAATCCAATATAATAGATCCATATCAGTCTTGGAAACCGGTTTTCGCCCAAATGGCATTTCTTACCCGACTCAAATCCCTCCCCTTCAACGTCCTCCCGGCCCCTTCCTCCACCGACAGCGACGCCGCCCTCCTCCTCATCACCACCTCGTGCGGCGGCACGATCGCCTCCCCGTCATCTTCCTCCTCCTCCTCGAAGCCTCTCCTGTTGCAGTAACTCACGCTGCTCTTGCTTTCATGTAACAATATTTTAGACCAGTCCGGTACGCGGACGGGCATTGAACCCGGGCCAGACTTGGAGCCAGAACCAGAACCGGTTGCAGTCTGGTTCATTTTCCATGTTGATCGCGACCGTGGAACCGAAGATTTCATGTCGGGTTTGGATTCGGGCTGGAAGCACCACACGTCGGACTCGTCGAACTCGTCGCCGGCGGCGAGCCCCTCCATCTTTCTCGGGGAGGAGAAGAGGCGGATGGTGTGCTTGAGGACTTGATGGTTCCTTGATGCGGCCGCCATTTTTGCTGATTGGCCCCTGGAATCTTTTCGAGAACTTTTGACGGGCGATGATTTGAGGCGTAGGAAGTGGGAAAACTTTGGGTGTCGGAGAGCTCGTTTTATAGGAGCTCGAGGCGTACGTGGGGCCTACCGGGTCATGAGCTGTGTGGATGTGGATAAGGCACCTTATCTTTTTGTGCCGTAATGATTTGTATACGGGGGTAATATCGGAAATATCAAAATTGTGACTGTGATTGAAGAATTTTCTTCTTTCTTCTTCTTCTTCTTTTTGTTTTTTTATTTCCCGACCCCTAGAATGTAGAATATTGAAAATTGAGTTTTTTGATGATGAATAATAAATATCTCGGTCTCATAAAATTCATCACAGATAGAGACAAATGAGAATAATAATTGCAACACATCTACAAAATGTATAGGTTTTACAAAGCGAAAGATATTGATAATTACTACATAGAATCATTCAAGGAGTAAGGTTAATCATATTTCGAGAAACTTTTTAACTTACGATTTATTTCTATATTTGTTTGCCTATTTCACAAAATTTCATCATGAAAACATATTATGAGCCCAAAGACCTGACAATACGATATATTATAGTTTATGAGAAAATGCTCACATGTGTGAAAACACAACCTGTATTTACTTATTCTACTTCACGAGTGTGTCTTATATGTAAATAAGTACTAAGAAGCGGGTAGCGAAAATTGAACCCGCATTATTAGCTTGGAAGGGTAGAAGTCTGATTTCTTTAAAAAATCAGATCAAGCAATGAGAATCCAAGATAATACTTTGGATAATTTTTATAAATAATTTATTTATTTTTAGATCACAAGGAATATTTTGCAATAGGAAAGTTTTAATTTTATAAAATTATATATATTATATATTTTTTATGATGTCTTGTGTTTTAATAATATTTTAAAAAGAGATACAAGTGAACCAAAAACCCCTCTTTATAAAAACCAGTAAAGAAGTGATACCAAATTAATAAAAAACTTTGACAAATTCATTAATAATATTTTAAGAAGAAGGCTAATTCACTAACTTTATATATAATTTCAACATGTATAATTTTGCATATATCATTTCAAAGTTAATGTTAGAAGTACCCCCGCAACTATGGTGGATGACTTAGAAAACCCCTCCCAACTATTTTAATTTTAAAAAAATCACCCTAAAGTTTGGGCATATTATAGAAAACCCTACTCAACTTCGGAAATTAGACAAAACCCCTCAAGTATGGGTTGCTCACAAAAGACCCCTACTATTTCACACTTTTCTTACCAAAACTTCTTGACGTCATTTAAAAATATTAAATAGCTAAAATACCCTTTTGAAAAATAACTCATTCAATTACAATGAAATTCCCAACCAATAAAAACAACTATTTTAAATTTAAAATATTTTTTGGCCTCTTTCTCCTCTCTTTCTCTCCTAAAAAATCAGAGCAATTTTTTAATGATTGAGGGGTATTTTAGTCTTTTCTCGATCACATATTTTTCATTTGACATGCTAGATCTAACAATGTAGCTTTCATGGCATAAAATAAAAAGAGTTCATGGGGATTTCTCAAATTTTCAAACCTGATCTTGAGTGGGTTTCCCACATTAAAATGGCTGAGCGGGGTTTTTTGAGACACACGTTGTGCTTGAGTGGGGTTAAGTGAGAAAAGTTCAATGGGTTATCTCAAATTTTCATACTGATAGGGTTATCTACAATATACTCAAACTTGAAGGGGGTTAATTTCCCCAAATTAAAATAGTTGAGAGAGGTTTTCTATAACATGATTTTATTTAGAGAGACTCTCTACATGAGCTTTTTCTTTAATTTCTATATCTTATTTTAGGACTTTGTTTTGCTCTTAATTTCTTTAAATTTGTAAGACTGAGTCATACCTTTTTCGTGTTTTCATTTGATGGAGCTGTCTTGATTTATATTTTTGTCTATCATTTGTTTATATTCAACTTTGAACATCATATTCTTAAGTCATTATTGTCTAATTATTGTTCAGATGCACCAATTTTGAATAGTGAAGCAGGAGTCGTTTCACTTTCACTTTTATTAATTGCCTAAATGTGCACTGCATGATCACATTGTTATATTCAACTGATTATGATTACTGCAACTGGTTCTGTGACTTGTTATTCTAGAAGAAGTTTATGACAACATAAGTTACCTGACTCATTAGAGACATTAGGGATTTCATAACCAGTTGCAGGAGTAGTTTGTTGAGTCGATGACTGATCCCAACCAGAAGAGTAGCCAGTAGAGGCAGCAGGTTGAGGTGGGTAGCCTCCATAAGGAGGTTGGGTATATTGAGGGAGAGCTCCAGGGTAAGCTCCATGCTGCATGTAGCCATATCCTGGTTGTTGTTGCAACGGAGGTGGTAGACCCCAGTTTGTACGTGTTTCGTAGGTGATTTTCTTAAGCTTTAGCATTGCAATTTTGTCAGCCATATCAAATGTGATTATAGAATAAACTTAGAGATGCAAAAACTACATCAAATGATTGCAGGATCATCTACCTTCTGGTGACTTTTGCCTTATAATGTTGTTATTATTTGCAGCTTTATTTTTACACAGTGATCTTGATGAATCAAACTTAGTAGTGACTACTACCTGTTTTCTTCAGTGTAAAGCTGGCACCTTATATAAGTATTGACTACATTTTAACAATTCTATAATATCATTGATTCCTCAAATAAAATAAAATTTCCTTTTTTTCACTGCATAACTTCTTTGATTTGTTATATGTTTGAAAGTTTTTTGATTGTCTGAGTTTAACCTTTTAATATAGTTATATATGCTTATAAGTTAAGCATATATAACTATATTAAAAACAACGAGATACCCGGGAAATCAATGCATACTTCATTTTCATTTAATTTATGTTTGAAAGTTTTCCATGGATACTTCATTTTCATTTAATTTTGTTAGCCATGCAGTGTGTGAGCAAGTCTGCTTGCATCAGGGATTCAACTGCTAGACTCCGTAGTTCATGTGATAACTAATCATCCATTTGTTGAAAATGTATCATCTCCGGGAATCAAAGGGAATGACCACGACCAAATTTCGTCCTCTTTTGTGGAGGTACTGACCAAAACATCATATTTTTCTGTGGAGCAATTATTCTCATTATTTTCTTTTGTTTGGCAGGATGGTGATATTAATGACCTTGCTGTTCTCACTCACAACATTGCCCATGGAATCGAACTGAGAAAGTCTCATTAGCATTTTACCTTGCTAATTATCTTGCTCAAGTAATTTTTGGCATCTCTTGCTAGCAGTTTACCTTAGCTGGACTGTTTCACTATTTGTACATGCTTTGCTCTCATTAGCATTTTGTTTTGTAAATGTTTAAGGATATTATTTCCATAAATTTTGCATGTGGGCTGTCGGTTTGTTTGAAAATGTTGTACTACTGTACGTTGAGGTCTTTCGAAGGTAAAATTAATGGTCATTTTTTTATTGCCCAGATTGCCTGACAATGTCTCCATTGAGCTACAATTCTTAATTTCTGGATTATCATTAAAAACCTTTTCCAATGTTTTTCGTATGGGGTCTTAATGTTTCCTTGTCAATAGATAACTAATGCAAATCCATTTTACTAAAGAACCATTGGTGGAGGATTTAACATTGCAGTTGTCAATAGATAACTAATGCAAATCCATTTTACTAAAGAACCATTGGTGGAGGATTTAACATTGCAGTTTCAGTAAAGCTACTTCTCATGATTTCCATTTTACTAAAGAACCATTGGTGGAGGATTTAACATTGCAGTTTCAGTAAAGCTACTTCTCATGATTATTCTTTATATTGTACCTGTGAGATGTTAAAATTTGATTTTCTTTTAACAGTTTTGGAAGGTGAGTGCATGTGATATATGTGAGATTGCTACGATTCAGTTTACCATTCTGGCTTTTCACATGCTCTTAAGGTATGTATTCAAATTGATTCTATTGAAATTGATATAAATTTTCTTGAAGGATAGTACTTAACTCCAAATTGTTAGATAAAATTACACTTGTGACTTTATGGATGCTAGCTCTGGGAATCTTTCTATCCAAGTCACTGGTGATAATTGACCATTCTATGTTAATGTGCATATCCTATCAACAGTACTATCACTTTGGAAATATGTTCAAATTGATTTTCTTGATCATAATAATATTGAGCATATATCAACTGTTTAAATAATTGGAAGCTTCCTTTGTAATGAATGGTTCCGAAAATTATTGAACAGCCAGCATCAAAACCTCACTGATATATCCATCAATTGACAATATAGAAAAATTATATTGATGACATACTCTGCATCAGGACATAGTGACTGCTCGCTTCAACAATAACAAACAGATCTTATTGTTTATTGTTTTATTATTTACTTCTGACATCCTAATCCATGTCTCAAACAACAAGCTGACCCCAATTACATTATATAAGAGGGTTGCGGTATCTCAATGTCTTTTTCTATCTTTCATTTAGTAACAAAGCAGGGCTATACTGTTTTTGTAGCTAAAACAGCAATTCTAATCAGAAGCTAGGCATGAAAATAAAAACATTAGCAGAGAAATAGCAAATAGCATATTAACATTGCATACTTAGTTATAACAAACTGTTTCAATGAATGGTGCTATGCCATCATAAATTGATAGCTAACCTACCATTCAATCTTATCAAGAATTTTTCGGATGGTTTGGGCATGGGGAGTCTAATTGGTCTTGTGTTTCATATAGGCTAACACAGTGAACCATATCATATAACGCAAATCAACTTTAAATTCAATTTTAGAACGGGGGGGGGGGGGGGGGGGGGACTTAGGCCTTTCACTGATTTCCTCATCCTTATATATGCTTCCGTACATTTGATCCACTTGTTGCCATATCACTTCGTGAAAATTTTCATTTACCACCCATGTCAGTAGAGCGTACTACAAGTGCATGTCGTTAGCAATCCATATATTAGAACATTACTCATGAATCTCAAAATGTTTCTAGATGTGCGTGACTAATCAATAGGAAGCTTAGAACAGTTACATAAAAAATATACAGAGATGGTTATATG